TGTGTGTGTGTGTGTTTTGAGGGAGACGGAAAGAGGAAAAACAAAACAAAACAGAAACGAGTCACGCGCCGGCCTGTGTCGCCAAGCGCACACTGTGACACAGTAGCTATGCTGGTGTCAGTAAAAGCCTGCGTCTCTTGGCACAGAGCAAGCCGCCCTTAAACCCAGGGTGTGTATGCACGGCTGCGTGTGTGATCAGATGATGTTTCTGTGCCTGCCAGTGGGAAATTCCACTGGTGCTCTCCAAGTGATTATCAGCACAGAAACATGGCCTCAAGAATGTTTGTAAGAGGTGAACTAATGTACCATGACCTGGGAGTTTTCTTCAGTTAATCCTTTCTCCGTAGTATCCAGTCGGAGAGACGTAGGCGCTCTTTTCCTGTGGGTACTAACCAAGTGTTCTTGAGCAGGGCAGTGGAGCTTAGTGGTGAGAATTAAAACACTCTGGTTTCCCAGGTGTGAGTATACTGTGATTACTGGAAATAAAAGTGTCGCAGTATGGTGTACCATCATGTACAGAAGAGCTTTAAAGTCACAACTCTGCTGGAGGGATAAACTACATTCTACCAAAATATAGTCCCTCATGTGGTGTTGTGATGATGGTGGCCATAGCATAGTGCTTGGCAATATACCGGATTAGGATCAGCAGGGGCAAAAAAAGAATAAAAAGGGCACCAGTGCACAGAAAGTTGTCATGCATTTGTAGTGAAACAGTCACCAAGTGTTAAAATAACAAGCAGTGTTAAAATAACAAGCAGCACAGAATGTGAGACAGGAATCTAAACTGGAAAAAGGTTGAGAACTAGTGACCTAGATGGCACTTTATCATGTTTTGTCCACTGGAAGGGCAGCCTCATAATGACTTCATCATTATAAAGTGGTAATGATGGTTAAATGGTCTTTGGAGCTGCAGTCAATTAATTGATCACCAGAAAGTTACTCGGCATCAGTTTTGATAATGGATTGATCGTGTTGAAGCAAAAAGCCTGTGCTTCTCAACTGTGATCATTTGCCTCCTCTGTCTTCTATGATAGTAAACTGTGTTCTGTGTTCCCCATAATTTGCACCATATTCTGAAATAGTTAACTTGTAATGACAAAGAATTGCTTTGTGTTTCTAGAGAGAATATCAACACATCCTTTCATTTTGAGCTAGCATTACTTGGCCATTAGCAAGAAATATGACTACCATTAAACTATTAAAGATAAAAGGGCAACGAGCATGCCAAAGCCCATAAAGTATTGGATTGATTTGATTGCATTTGCATCTATTTATTTGTCAGTACAACTGGTAGAAACACTCACTCATGTTCTATTTTTGCTCCATATAACACGGTTGCATAGAATTTGCTTGGATCACATCGTACAGAAGTGTAAAACTATGGTGTGAGTGTATGCAGTCTTCGTCTCAATGTAGACTCTTCTCT